TCCCCTGGGACTGGAGTTACGGACAATTGTTAGCTGCCATGTGGGTGCTGGGATGTGAACCCGGGTCTTCTGCAAGAACAACCAGTGTTCTTAACTGCTGAGCCATCTCTCCAGCCCTAGATTTTGTTTTTTAAAGTAGTTTTGGATTCACAGAAAAACTGAGTAGAAAATATAGAGATCTCCTCTGCATATCTGTCCTCTCCATTCCTCCCCCACCAAGAGTTGCTTATAATTAGTGCCGTCAGTTAGTATGGTACATTTGTTATAATTTATGAGTCAATCTTGCTACATTATCATTAATTACTATTAAGATTCACTTGTGTTACATAGTTACATGGGTTTTGACAAGGGTATGATGTTACAAATGTAGTGTCACAGTATCATCCAATAGTTTCACTGCCCTAAAATTCCTCTACATTCTTATCTGTTCATCTGCCTACTCATCTCCCCAAAACTTTGGCAACCACTAATCTTTAACTGTGTATTCTTGCCTCTTAAAGAGTTTTGTATGACTGAACTCACCCAATATCTAGTCTTTTAAGGCTGACTTCTTTCACTTAGCAATGTGCATGTTTCCTTCACATCTTTTCATGGCTTAATAGTTCATTTCTCTTTATTGCTGAATGATAGTCCATTTTGTAAACATATCATCATTTGCATTTATCTGTTCCCTTACTGAAGAATAGCTAATGACTTCCAGTTTAGGGCATTTATAATTATAGCAGCTGTACACACTTGTAGGCAAGTTTTTGTACAAACAAATTTCAGTTCAACAAATACTGAATTGTATAGTGAGACAATGTTTAATTTTGGAAGAACTGCTATCTTACAAAGTGGCTGTGCCAGTTTTGATTCCCACCAACAATTATTAGAACTCTATTGTGCCATATCTTATCAGCATTTGCTTTTGGTCAGATTTTTGTATTTTAGATATTTAAATAAGTGTGTGGTTGTATCTCATTTAATTTGTAATTCCCTAATATCATTTGAAATTTGGTGTCTTTTAAAATGTTTATTTCCCATCAGTATATTTTCTTTGGTGAGATGTCTGTTTAGATCTCTGGATAGCCCAGACGCTTACTTTTTGAAATAAGGCTATATAGCCAGTGCTCACTTTGTCCTCTGTATGTTACTCAGCTGACCTTGAGCTTACATCCTTCTGCCTCAGCCCTCCTAGTGCTGGGATTACAGGTAGGTACCATTATGCTCAGATTCTCCTACCCATTTTTAAAAGTACTTTGAATATTTTTAATACATAGCTCTTAAAAACATTTATTTTTTATGTGTATATTGTGTGTGGCTGCATGAATCTATATACATCATGTATGTGTAGGAACCTGCAGAGGTCAAAAGAGAGCATCAGAATCCCCTGGAACTGGAGTTACAGGCAGTTGTGAGTCACCATGTGAGTGTTGGGAACTGAATCTGGGTCATCTACAAGAGCAGTAAGTGCTCTTAACAGCTCCTAATAGCTGAGCCATCTTTCCAGCCTCTGATTACATATTTTTTATCAGGTGTACATTTTGTAAGTATTTTCTCCCTATCAGTGGCTTATATTTTCACTTTTAACAGTATCTTTCACAGAGTATAGCTTCGTAAGAAAGTTTTTCTTCCATGAATTGTTTTTGTTTATGTGCTTTTTGTTGTTGCTTTGTTTATTGAGGCAGGGTTTCATGTAGCTAAGGCTGGCCTTGCAATTGCTATACAGCAATAGGTGACATTGAACTCCTAATCCTCCTGCTTCTACCTCCCAAATGCTATATTACAGGCATGCATCATCACACTGGCTTGGTTTGTTTGCTTTTGAAATTGTATCTAAAAACCTCATCACCGAACACGTTTGCCTAGATTTTCTCTTGTGGTAGAAATTTTTTTAGTTTTGTGTTCTATATTTTAGTCTGTGGCTCATTTTGAATTAATGTTAGTTAAAGGTTTAAAGTCTGTGTCTAGCTTTGTTTCTTCTCACATGTGGATGTCTAGTGTTCCAGCCCCACTGTCAAAGACCGCTCTTCAGTTTTTGTTTACTTTTGCTCTTTGTTATCAGTTGTATGGATATGTTTCTGGGCTTTCTATTCTAGTCCATTGACCTGCTTTTCAGTTCTTTGACCAAGACCATACTCTCTTGATTATTGTGACTTTATATTTTTATATTTATGTATTTATTGATTATTATAGCTTTATAGTAAACCTAAGGGGTCAAATGTAGGGCCTTGTGCTTACCTGAGAAGTACTTTACTAACTACTGAGTTCTATACCCAGCTCTTTAATAACCTTAAAAACACAATGAGGATTGAGAATTTTAATTGTTAAAAATCATTAAGTTATTGCTGATCCACAAAGTATAGTATTAAGATACATTTTTCTTTAAAGTGTTTTATATGTATCAAATATTAATTTTTATCTTACTTTACTAAATAGTAGTGCATTACTATCACATTGCTCTCTGATTTAGTTTGCATATTTTTCCTTGACAAAGATGTGAATCCCTTTCATTTATAAAATATTTTTAACTAGGCTAGAGAAATGACTCATTGGTTAAGAGAACTTGCTGCTCCTACAGAGAACCCAGGCTTGATTCCCAGCACCCACATCAGGTGGCTTGTAACTCTAGTTTCAGTAGATCCTATGCTTTTTTCTGACCTCCACAGGTACCAGGCAGTATGTACAAAATACCTATACACATAAACATTTTTAAAATAAATCTTTAGAAAACAAATCAAAATATTCAGCTATTAGTCACTTAGGTATGCATCTGTTGTTCTCATACAAAAGAGGTGCTGTCTCAAATAGAAATACCCATTTCCCTTGAGTATAATACAGATAGCAGTTGGGAAATAAAGTCTTTCTTGTAATAGAGTTACCAAAATACAATATATTTATTATAGGCAAATAGGTATAAGCCAGTTCAGAAATTGTATTGATCCAGATGTTTTTCAGTAAACTTAGTTTTTACAAATAATATTAAAATGAGCATACTCAGACTTACCTGGATAAATGTAGTTCCCCATCATCTAACAGTTTTTCAAGGACTTATCAGCAGTTTGGTTAGAGAGTCTCCTTAAACCTGATCCTATCAGGTCTCTCTTTTTTCAAACTCCGGTAACTTGCAGGATAGTATATTAAGTTCATCCAGGATCTTTTGGGCTTAAAGGACAATAAATATGAAGCATTTCAATTTA